ATTACTACCTGGAACCTCAAAGTACACTCAAGATTCCTACCTCCTGCCTCTGGTACAAATTCCCTCAAGCCCAGCTGTAAAGGTAGAATCTAATGGGAACTGATCAAAACCTATCTCACCACATAGGCTGGTACCCACAGTGTGAAGATTAAGGGCCTTGGGAGACATGGCGGACAGAAGGGAGGAGTGGCATGTTGTCTCCTTGAATTGTCTAAAGTGGTTGAATTGCCGTTTTCTTGAACAATTACTTGATTAGTCAAGAAACAAAACTGAAACAAACTACAAGTAAGGCTTTTGTGGGCAGGTATTCTTCTATTCCAGTCTTGCAAAACACAACTGACACTTCAGAGAAATGCAACAAATGATGCAAGATGGACACAGGGATGTAACAGGCATTGCAGTGTGGTAGACGACAGGGTGGGGGGCGGGAGATGGCAGGAAACGGGCCAGGGGTCGGTGAGAGTCTTGCAGGTCTTAGGAATCTTTCACATGAAACAACAGGGAGCAAGTAAAGCCTTCTGCTTTGAGAAATATGTTATGAAGGCACTGGGCAGTAGACTCCTTTATGGGAACCCAGCGGGTGGGGAGTGCGGCAGCACAGCAGCCACAGAGCTCCACACACCCATCAAAGGCATCCAGGAATCTGCTGTTGGTGGTAGCTAGCAACAGAGTTCCTGGGCTACAACCTTGGGCCAAACAGGATGGACAGAGGGACAGAGTTATCAAACCAAGATCCAGGAGGCAGTGAGTTGCCCACATGAGTCAGTAGGGGTTGGGAGTGCGGCCCTGAATGCAACCAAGTCTCACCCCACAATCATAAGCATGCACAAACACACTTTTTCACTCAGGAAAGCTCAATCCTTTTAACTGGGAATTATTTCCCAATTAGAATCAACGTGAGACTAAGGCTTAAAACTGTTGGAGCTCTAAGAACTGATTGAAGTTTTCATCCTGGCTTTTGGTCCCTAGGAAAAGCCAGCTCAGAAGCAGGAAGAGCCATTTCCAAATGCAACCTGGTTGTTTTTTTCTGGGCCAGACATTCTCCCTGCCTCATTCCTTCCCATTCTCTATTATCTTCCACTGACTCTTGCTGTTTTCTTAAACTATTCCTGAAAAATCTAGCCTTGCCCCAGCTAAGAAATAACCTTGGACCCAGTAACCCCCAGGGGAGAGGCCTGTAGAAGGAAGACTGAATTATAGACAAGCTCAATTGAGGAGGGGTGAATGCAGACATCTGGGCAGACCCCACCATGGCTGCTAGCATAATCTTCTGTTATCAAAGGAAGTACTACTATTCAGTGATCCTCTTAGCCCCTTGCCACCTTTCCCATACACAACTCTTTTATTTATCAACCCACATTCAGTGGCCAAAAAAGGTGAATATCTTTGGAGCTCTCCAAAGATTACTCCCCACCTCACTTCACCACACTTCAGTACAAATTCCTCAGCAAAATGCAGGTTTGGTTAAAGAAAGAAAGGATGTTTCTCTAGAGGAAAGAAATTTACCAAGCTGAGAGCAGGAAGAGCCATGAATCAGAGTGAACCCTGGAAATGGAAGCTCTGGAGGTTGTCCCCATCTCAGAGACTGTGTGGGGTTCAAGGGTTTGGAGACTGGGGAGGCATGTCATGATGAGGGTGGAGAATCAACCATTGAGATGCAATGTTAAGAGAAAGAAATGTTAAGTTCTTTAAGTTAAAAAATCCAAGCATCCAAGTTAGAGATAGAGGAGTGCTGGCCTAGCATTTCTCATATAATAGGATCTGGAAGCTTTAAGTGACCTTCAGCATATTATGAAAGTGCAATACGAAAGAGATGGCAGCCAGAAGGCAGACTTGCAGAATGTGCCCTTCGGTGGTATAAATTATTGAATATGGCTGCCTGAGTGTTTAAAAAAAAAAAAATGCTAACGTGAATAGAGAAAAGCACTGTTAACTGATAGTATATGGATGGGATTATAATCATTGTAATGAAACAAGGTGTATGATTTGTTGAATGTAAAACTGATGATCTGCCCTGTAAACTTTTACTTAATCCACAATAAAAACCTTAAGAAAAGAAAGTGCAATATGATATGGCTGCTATACGAGGGGGGGCTTCAAAAAAACTTATGGAAAAATGGAATAAAAAGATAATAGAATTTTTCCATGAACTTTTTCAAGTCCGCTCATATATTAAAACCACAATCTTTTTTTTTTTTTTTTAAAGACAACAGCATTCAGCAACAATATTGGAAATATGAGATACGGGCCATAGGAAGTACAACTGATATTCCAAATTGCTTAGACAACAATTTAGAACACTGTTCTAAATAGGGGATTGTTTCAGAGGACTAATTACAAACTAGCCATTGTCCTAATAAGATCACAGGAGAGTGAGGTCTAGAAATGACACACTAAAAAGGGGGCGAAAAGAGATGCCTGTAGACAGTAAAAAACCAAGAAAGATGCAGAAGGCCAGAGATTCGAGGTCTGATAATCCCATCAACTTCTAGTGTCAGCATTAGAAATTAAGGGTCATAAAATCATGGCATTTGAGAGTAGAGAAGAATTTTGTATGCATTCTAGTCTATGCTCATTTTATAGATGAGAAAACTAAGACCAAAAATTTTAAGTGATTGCCTAACTAGATGAAGTAGGATCAGGGCTATACTTTAAGCCCTTGATTTTTACTCCTAGTCCCTTCTGTTTTAAGAGCATAACGTTCAAGGGAACTATGAGTTCCCAAGGAAAGTCAGCATGTTCTGTCTGCTCCAATTCAAAGGGCAGCAAAAGGCTCATTGGAGAGATGTGATTGGGAAGATGAAAGAACAAAGATTCCTGTTCAGTCTAAGAAAAGAGCTTCCTAACAACAAAATCTGCTGGTTAGGGTGGACTGCTCTGTTAGGCTAAAGAGGAGGTCTCCCCTTCCTGAGAGAGGTTCAGACAGAGGAAGGACTGCTGCTGATGGCGGGAAACTGTCTACTCTAAAATGCCATGGTTCCCACATAAAGCGAGGAAGGCTTCCCACATACAGAAGGACGGGAGAAGGCTGAAGCCAAAGTGATGAGCAGGGTGTACAGTGAGGGTGCTGAGTCAGAAAGGCAGCATGGGACAGGGAAACAGGCCTCTCAGATTCTAAGATGTCCCCAGCTCCTCCTTTAAGAAAGGAAAAATTTTGAAATCAGAATTGCAGGCCAGGACCAACACTGTTCTTAAGTTTAAGAAGAATTCAGTAAGGATAATGATAGCAAAGGCGTCAGGTTGAGGACTAAGGTACGCCTGATCCAAGCCATGATATTTTTAGTAACCTCATATGCATGTGAAAGTTGGACAGTGAGTAAGGAGGATCATAGAAGAATTGATGCCTTTGAGTTATGGTGTTGGAGGAGAATACTGAAAATGCCATGGGCTGCCCAAAGAACCAATAGATCTGTGCTGGAAGAAGTGCAGCCAGAGTGCTCCTTGGAGGCCAGGGTGGCCAAACTTCGTCTCTCATACTTCAGACATATTGTCAGGAGGGACCAGTCACTGGAGAAGGATATCATGTTTGGTAAAGTGGAGGGACAGAGAAAAAGAGGAAGACCCCCAACAAGATGGACTGGCCAAGTGGCAGCATCAATGGACTCAAGCGTGGAAACAACTGTGAGGCTGGCTCAGGACCGGGCAATGTTTTGTTTTGTTGTGCATAGGGTCGCTATGTGTCGGTACCAACTCAATGGCACCTAACAACAACGACAACAAATAATAACTAGTGGAGTCCCAGTGTGGCACTGTAGAATAAGCACTAGATTTCTAACTACAAGGTTCAAATCCACCAGCTGCTCCTCAGAAATCCTATACAGGGTCACTATGAGCCGGCTCTGACTTGAAGAGACACAAAGACAGTGGATATTAAAGCAGACAAGATTCTAACTGAGCATAACCTAGCTCCTTGACCAACAAGCAGAGTGATAAAACACTGACTTACAGCAGGAAGTGTAGCTACTCAGCCATTTCCCGAAGGGCACATTCTGTTTTCTGGCTCAGATTATCAGCTGTCACCAGGCTGCAGACCTGTCTAGATGGCTGACCAGAAAGCCTTCCAAGTCTCAGTCTGGCATTTCTAGCCTTCCCTAGGAATGTTCTCAGCCATCCCAGCACCACCAGGTCCAGAGGAAAACATCTGTCAAGATGTCACCCCAGACTTTGTGGCATTTCTCCCCAGTTTGCATTCGGATGCTTCACACAACACCGCTACTCTCACTAGCCCATCTTCTCCCTCACACGACCTGTATCATCACTAGGGATATCCTGGCTTTGTGACACAGCTCATTGGCTTCTACCCAAGGAAAATGAGTTTTGCTTCTCAGTCTCTTTCTCAATCCTGTGAGACTAATTCATCATGTGAACTGGAAAACCCCTTTCCAGCCATAGCCAAAAATCTTTCTTATTCTGGAGCCCAGTTAAGCTGGGAAGAGAGAGAGTTCACTGCTCTGCAAATTTCAGAGGTGAAAGTCACTATCACTATCACTAAAAAAAAAAAAAATTTCAATTTGACAAAAAGTCTGGAAATGATTCACACAAAGAAAGTCTGACTTGGTAATTTCAAATTCATTCACAGCCATATAAATCATTTGCAAGTGGAGGAGAGAAGGGAGGAACAAGAAATTCCAAGGATCCAGTGTTAACTGGGGCTACACACAGCTTTTTTGGAGGAGGGGGGCTGGCAGGGGTGAGTAAAGAATAGAATTTGGCTCTGGACTAAAAAAAAATAAAATAAACCAGAAACCTTGGCAGAACCTACCACACAGTCCCAGAACAGCAAAGACTAAGTTGTTCCCACCCCTATTTTTAAGGCTTCCAAGAAAACCATCTCAATTAAGCAGATTGGGGGGAGGGGGAGGAACTAGCCAGAGGAGTAGGAAGGGGAAGGGAGTTTGTAGCAGGATCAGGAAAATGGAATTTGCTTCTATTTGTTGTACACACGCTGAAATGGCTCCATTACCCACTCACCTACCCACCCCCATTTCAAAGTCACTGACCTTTGCCAAGAAGGTGGCGTTCCTAATGGAGCCAACCATCTCTCCACCCTTGGGGTGAACCTTGGCCACGTGCATCCACATGCGTTCCCAGGTGTGGTTGTCGATGGGGAAGCCGCTCTTGTTAACATGAAATAGCACCCCGCCGTCTTTGTCCTCCTCTTCCGAGCCCCCGCTGGTGGCGAGGCTCACTGGCCGCGCGTGGCTGCTTCGGGACCGGGTGCCTTTGGCGCCTTTGGGGTGGGGGCAGTGGTGAGTCTCCGACGCAGAGCCAGTCATGGTGGGGCCGGGGCTGGGTGGGGCGGGCGAGTCGCGCGGCGGCGGTGATGGGGGGCGTGTGCGCGCGCGGGCGCGACGCGGGGATCAGCGCCCCGCGGGGGCGGTGTTCTCCATGCCTCTTGCTGCCGCAGGACGCGGTAAAGGGGAGCGGCGGCTGGAGCTCCACGGAGGAAGCCGGGCTGTGGCTCACTGGCCGTGCCTGAAATCAGTTGAGACACAGCAGACATCCAGCTAAGCGGAAACCCAGAGGAATCCAGGTGGGGCAGTCCAATGCCGTTGGGGGATCTCGAGGTGTCTCCATGTCACCTCTCCTGCTCCCCACCCCCCCCCCCGCACGCTTACAGACCCCCCTCCCCAACCCCCAGCGCACCGAGTTCAGCTTTCAACCTTGCAATTAATTAACTAGAAAGCTGGCTTGGAAATTGCTATAAAGCTTCACACACAACTAAACACCCTGAAAATAAAATAAAAGCGCATGGGGGTGAGCAGTGGACAGTATAAGGGAAGGAAAGGCAGTTTGAGTATCATGAATGAACAGGAGGTTCCCACAGGGCTCCACGCAAATCTGGTTTCCAGATTTGGCTGGACAACTAGCCGCGCCAAGAACGTACTGGCACGTGTGCGCCCCGGGCTGGCGCGAGGGCGCGGCACCAACCTCGGCTTGCAAAGGCGGTACTGTTGCTTCCAGGATCCCCTCCTCGACCCTGGTGGGTGAGGAGGCGGCGCGCAAGGAGGCCACCCTGACCCTAGTCTGCAGAGGAAATACCTCCTCCCACCCCCTGTCTCCGAGTTTCAGCACCCCGCACCCGGAGAAACTAGCTGCAGGCGGGAAGCGCAGTTCCTGGGACCTTACCTCCTGCCGGTCAGCTTCATCTCTGCAGAGCCTCTTCCCACAGTAGAGGTTGCGGTTGCGGTTGCTGCTGCTGCTGCTGTCGTCCCTGCTGCGGCGGCCGCGGCCGTCGCCTCATTCCATTTTCCATTCTCGAATGTTATTCTGTGACATATAACCGAGTCACCCGGGCAGCCGCCGATGTTCCGAATGCGTCCATTGGCCGCCGCAACAAAGAGGGGCGGTCCCGGGGCTCGGAACTCTACAACCCTGAGCTTCCCAACGTTCTGATTGGCTTCGGGGGTTCCTGGGCGGGAGGGGATATGAGTTGGGGGAGTAGGGAGGCCACGAGAAACCCGATCGCTTTCGTGTCCTGGGAGCAGCGCGGGGCTGGAGATTTGGTCACGGGACTTCCGACCGAGTTTCCCGCGGGGTCGTGGCACTACGAGGGCTTTCAACTGTGGAAAACAGACGGGGGGGAGAAAAGCAAGGCGAGACGTGACCCCAAGGTACTGGAGGGTTTCCATTAGGGACAGCATTCCCTAAGGGATGTTGGATGGTTTCTGGGAGGGAGTGTCTATAAACATGCACAAAATTAAGTCGTTAAAGAAATCTGCATTACAAATTTCTTCAAATTAACAAGTGGGGACAGACATGAGTCTCTAACATTCTCACTCCAGTTCGATTCTAAATCTCAGTGACCCTACAGAGGGTTTCAGAGACTAAATTTTTACTGGGGCAGATAACCTCATCTTTGTACATCAGGGCATCTTTATGTTTCGCAGCCCAGCGCCTAACCCACAGCGCCACCAAGGTTCTCTGACGGTGCTGTTGTTGTTAGATGCTGTTGAATCTGTTCAGACTCATAACGACTCTGCACAACAGAAGGAAACACTGCTTAGTCCTGCGCATTGTGGCTGCCACTGTTAATCCATCCCGTCAGGAATTTTCCTCTTTTTCGCTGACCTTCCACTTTACCAAGCATGATGTCCTTCTCCAGGGACTGGTTCCTCCTGAAGACATGTAGGAAATTTGAGAGATGAAGTCACACCATCTTGGAGCATTCTGACTATACTTCTTCCAAGATAGATTTGTTTATTCTTCTGACAGTCCATGGTACTTTTAATATTCTTTGTTGTATTTATTGTTAAGTGCCATTGAGTCGGTTCTGACACAAAGTGACCCTGTATTGGGTTTCCAAGGAGCAAGCTGGTGATTTGAACCTCCCACCTTACGGTTTGCAGTCTAGTGCTTATGGTTAATAAAATGTCTTTAATGCTAAGTTGATCTGTGACACTATAACCCTGAAAGTCAGTCTGGTCTTTGTGGAGCTGTGGAATAATGCACTGGACTGCAAAGTCGGTTTGATCCACAAGGTCAGTGGTTCAAGCTCACCAGCCGTTCCTCGGAAACTCTATACAGGTTTGCTATGGGTTGGAACTGACTCAATGGCACTTAACAACTACAACTACCAGGTTAGAGGATGGAATGGAGAAGTGTGGGTGGGCCACCCACTGAAACACTTTCCTTAAAGTAGGATGATGAGAAAAGGATCAGGCTAATGACCTTTGGGCTCTAAGCTAAGTCCAAGTTCGTTCACTCAGCTGAACTGTGCAACCCTGGACAAGCAACTTTCCTGCTCTGGGCCTTAGCTTCATTTTCTGAAAAGTAAATCCATTGCTCTCCCAAGGTCTGTTCAGACTCTAAGGTTCTTTGAGCATGGCCATATAGCCTTTCTTTCTGAATCTTAGACCAGCATGCCAGCTTTGAGAGGGTGAAACAATTATCATAGGACTACTAAGTGGGACTTGAATTTTGGGTATAGTCATCCAAGTACTACTGATGACAGAATCAGTTTCTGGATGTTTAACCCTATAGGTTACCTTTTATGGAACTAGAACTTCTCTTCCACAAGAGGGTGGACTGACGGCCAGGGTCAGCAGGAGCCCTGGAGTGCAGCTGAGAGGCCAGCACTTTGGTGAAAAGACCTGAATTCAATACCTAACCCTGCACTACTGCCAAAAACAAACAAAATCCATGCCTAGGACTTTATAGATTCAATAATGAGAATGATAATTTAGGTCCATATAGACAAAGGAAATAGGCCCATTTGGAAAATTGTCTGAATAATTCATTGGGAACAAATAAACCTGAACGAAATCAGAAAACTGAAAGAAAAGCGATCCTCTCACTAGATAATTGCCTAAACTTTAATTTCTTCATGAAATGAAAACATCCCTCAGCTAGTGGTCTGTTTTCTTATCCTAAACATGCTTTCCCCCTTCTTTTTTTCATTCATCCCTTAAATCTGTCCCTTTTTCCACACTTGCCCGGAGAGAGTTTCAAATCCAGGAGACAAGGGTTTTCTATGTGAAAACCTGTATCCAGAGGATGAGAATTTGTCCTAAAAATCCCTCTGGAGAGAATGAAGCTCTTGTAGTTCAAGGGATCATACCATAGACCATTGAAGAATGGCTGTCACCTTCCATGACATCTTTTCCTTCCTAGTGTCCCTGCTCTAGCCAAGTCCAAACAACTACAGTTATCCTGTTAAAGCAGGGTCTGGATTCTACTTTTCCTAAATAAAAATCCTAGGAACCAAAGACGGTTATTGGTTCATCTTGCTGCCTGCAGGCATCTCAGGGCTTCCAAACAGTTCAGGGTGAAAGTCTTTGTTGTTATTTTAGTCTCTAGTATTCTAATTGTCTACTCTCCTAGGAAGCAGAGAAGGGGTATGTGATAAGTCATATGAAGAGAGCTGTGAGATGTGGCTATCTTCCAGAGAGGTGTTCAGGAGGTCCTGAGGTGAACTGCAGAGTCCCAGCAAAGGGACTAGGACACAGAAGAGCTCCTTGGTTCAGAACGTCTTTGTATTTGAAAACTGGTCTACTGTCATAGAGCAATAGCATTCCTCTTCATTTCCTTCTATATTTTGTGTTACATGATACTCAGGTGAACCAGGCCAAGCAGAGTATGAGTTTGAAAGTTCATTTCATTAATAAGAGTGACAAAACCTAGTGGGACAGGGCCAACTTGAACAGGGATATATGGTAGCTAGATACTCAACCTCTGAGAGCCTGCTCACTCTAATTCATTGGCATAAAACAACAGGTATAGTGGAGAACAGTAAAAGAAAGTTTGTAAAAGAAATCCCATTGTACAAGTGCAAGATGCTGAGGTCCAAAAGATAAATACAACAATATAATGTTATCTAAGCATTGTGCTAACTAAAAGGTTAGCAGTTCAAACCTAGCAACCACTATACAGGAGAAAAATGAGATTTGCTGCCCCTGTAAAGATTGACAGCCTTAGAAACCATATCTAGTATCGCTGTGAGTCAGAACCAATTTAATGGCACCTAACAACAACACAACATTCCAACTCATAGCAACCTGATGCACAAGAGAACAAAACACTTCCTGGTCCTCAAAGTTATTATGTTTGAGCCCATTGCTGCTGCCACAGTGTCAATCTGTCTCTTTTGGGGGGGTCTTTCTCTTCTTCATTGACCCTCCACTTTTCCAAGCATGATGGTCTTCTTCAGGGACTGATCCCTACTGACAACATGTCCAAAGTATGAGAAACAATGTCTTGTCATCCTCACTTATAAGGAGCATTCTGGTTGTACTTCTTCCAGGACAGATTCGTTTGCTCTTCTGGCAGCCCATGCTACTTTCAATACTTTTCCAATTAAGTGCATCAATTTTTCTATGGTCTTCCTTATTAATTGCCCAAGTTTCACATGCATACCTAGTCCTCAAACTGACATCTTTGCTCTTTAACACTTTAAAGAGATCTTTTGCAGCAGATTTGCCTAATGGAACAACACATCATTTAAGTTCTTGACTGCTGCTTCCATAAGCATTGATTGTGGATCCAAGCAAAATGTAGTTTTTGACAACTTCAATCTCTTCTGCATTTATCATATTATTTATTGGTTCACTTGTAATGATTTTCATCTTCTTTACATAGAGGTGCAATCATACTGAAGACTGTATAGTCTTGGATCTTCATCAGTATTTCAAACCCTCTTTACTTCCAGCTAGCAAGCTTGTGTCATCTACATGTCATATCTCGTCAACGAGTCTCCATCCAATCCTGATGCCATATTCTTCCTCATATAATCCAGATTCTTGGATTTGCTCAGCATATAGATTGAACAAGTAAGATG